TGAGCGACCAGGCCAGCCAAGCGTGGCAGCGTGTGTGCGCACGCAGAGCGCGCCAACGCCACGACGGCGTGCCCCCGTGGCTTGGTGACCGCGCCCAGCCCAGAGGGCTAGCCCGAGAATGTGTTGTGTATGGATTTTAAAGTGGTGACTACCACTAAACCATTGCATCTAAACCGAAACCGATTTCACCACGATCAAACTAATACATGAGGCTGCTCAGCCGAGCTAAAACACCATATCACCCTCTAACCCAATCTCTCTGAATAAATTGCTAAACTTGGCAATGTCCAGCTGTACACAATCTTGAAATTTTCTAAGTTTTTTTTGAGTTGAACTCTATTTCAAATTGTATTTCAAAGCTATTGAAAATATTACTAAGCAATATTATTTTTCAACGGCATGTATTTCATTGTCATCAACAAAGTTTACACTCCCAACTTTATTTAAGTATCACACACACGTTCTATAGTATTTTTACTTAATAAAAATTGATTTTAAACCCTACTTGATATACATGAGCTATTACATCAACGTTGATTTAATATTTTTATTAATTATTTTAGGCTACAAGAATTTTATCAACACCTTCTATCACGTGCATTATTATACAAACACGATACTCGTGACACGATTTAGTAGTTGGTTTAGGGCATAACACCGATGGTGTTACAGCTCTACCCCTTAAATAAAATCTCGTCCCGAGATTTGAAACATAAATCAAAAGGGGAAAAAATACGATTACACTACATCGAACACTAAACCATGCAGGGATTCAGAGATACACAGTTAAGAGCAACCTAGTACAACCAAAGTTTAATCTAGAAGTCGAGACAGACGAGGACAATGAAGAAATAACAAGAAAATAATTATCCAAAACATGGCGTATGTCCAACAGATCTAGAAACAGGAGACTGAGAACTCAAACATCGTGAACCCTAAGACCAAACTTACCAAAGGTGGACTTGAACTTCTTCGACATAAACCAGATCCCTTCTTCTTCTCAGATTACACCATCACTTTTGACTGACGAACCTAGTTCCTAGAATGATCACTAGATCTCGTAGCTCTAGTTCGAATTCAAGGGGATGAATAATATAAACAAGGATATTGTGATATAGGAGCCTGTAGAATCAGTTGCCTCTTGGCAATGAAGAGCAACAACAGCTCCACATAAAAGTGCCAGTAGCAGAGGCCCCAGAAGGTCTCAAAGAATTAGTAATCTAATTTTCTGATGACTATGAAGTCTATGTTAGTGAAGAAATTCAAATGAAGGGTGATCCCACCTTATTTGAAGAAGCCATGAGAAGCGTTTACTCGTTTGAATGGCAAGAAGGTATGGAAGGTTAAATGAATTCGATGAATACCAACGATGTTTGGGACTTAGAAGAAATTTCTAATGGAGCCAAAATAGTAGGCCATAAAATGGTCTACAAGACAAAATATGACTCCAAAGAGAATGTGGAAAGATATAAAGCATGACTTGTAGCAAAAAGCTTTACGCAAAGAGAATGAATAGATTACGATGAGAGTTTTCTCTCTAGTCTTATGCAAGGATTCTTTTAGAATCATAATGGTGTTATTGACACATTACGATTTAGAGTTACATCAGATGGATGTAAAGATAGCATTCCTCAACGGGAATTTATATGAAAACGTTTACATGGCATCAACCTAAAGGTTTTGTCGTGGAAGAAAAAGAACGTATGAGATGCCGCCTGTAGAAGTCCATTTATGGATTAAAATAAGTGTTTAGACTGTACTATTTAAAGTTGATAAAATGATAAGAAAGTTTGGGTTTAAAGAAAATGAGAAGGGCAATAGCGTTTTTGCGAAGTTCTGGAATAGAAAATTCTTTTTCATATCCTGTGTATAGATAACATCCTACTCACTAGTGGTAATGTTAATCTGCCATTGGAGAAGAAGATGTCTTTGTCCTTAAGTTTCAATGTGAATGATCTTGGTGAAGCGTTATTGTTCTAGAGATCAAAATTCACCGAGATAGAAGAAAATAGGGTATTAGGACTATCGCAAAGGCATACTTTGAAAAGATTCTAAAGAAAAAAAGTATGCATGCGAGTAAACCTACGCCTGCTCCTATAGTCAAGGGTAACAGATTTGAGAACTTTCAGTGTTTCAGGAACCAATATGAGATCGATCAAATGAACATGGTTCAATATGCTTCAGCTGTTGGAAGCTTAATGAATGTACAAGTAAGAACTTACCTTGACGTAGCTTACGTATCCGGGAAATTTTGGCAGAAGTCTAGTCCAGATATAGATCACTGGAATGGAGTTAAGAATATCTTGCAATTTTTGCAAAGTATCATAGGCATCATGCTGAGTAAGAAAGAACAAGTACTCTCAAATAGTTGTGGGTACAAATGTTAAGTTTTGACGAGATGTATAGTGAAATTCACAGTAGTTGCTAACACTCGCAGTTGAAGTATTATTGTGGAAAAGCTCTAATGAAACAGTTGTGGTGTCACCAAAGATGCATACCATAGTATAGCTTGTCATGAGGCCTCAGGAACAGACAAAAGTGGTTAAAGGAATATGTACCGGATTTAACAATGGTAGTCAACAGCAATAATCATTTAAAGTAGTTAACTCCTAAGACAATAGGTCAAGTGTGCTGACAAACACATTAACATTAAGTTATATGTTATAAAGGAGAAAATCTAAAATCATTTTGAAAGCATTGAGCATATAAGTACCAAGCAAGTACTTGCGGATCCGCTTACCAAAGGCTAACCACCCAGTGCGTTCAAAGAACACACAATCGACATGGGTTTATGAGAAATCCTATGATTTCTGGATACCAAGGGTCTAGTTGAGAATCTATTTTAAAACAGAGAGGTACATTGTATCTGTTTAATCTAATGACAACTGACCGTGACGATGATGCACGCTCTATGCACTGATCTGCGATGGAATGGGAAAAAAAGATAAAGTAAGTTAAGTTTAAGTTATAAGGTGAGATCAAGGGAGAGAATGTTAGATTGATCTCCATCAGTTGGCCCAACGGCTAATTGGGCACTTGATCCGTGCTCTGATCGGGGGAGCCCAGCCGTTCTCCTGACTGATGGCCTCTGTCGCGCAGCGCTATAAAGAGGAAGGTGAGGGCCGGGACGCAAGACACGAGGTTCACCGCTGCCGCCAGCGCCCCACCATGTCCTAACCCTAGTCCGATCGTGAAGGTGCGCAGTGAGCGACGGGAAGCTCCACCGTCTTCACCGCTGCCTCCAGACCGCGCCTGCACTCCTGCCTTCTTCGAGACCTTAGTGGGCGCGTCAAGCTACTGTTACTTCTTTGCCAGCGCCACGACTTCACTGGACGAGGTACATCATCGAGTTCCCTTTCTAATTTAAGCTATTACCCGCTAGATCAGCACCAGAGGTCGTACAAATCCCATCAGTACCACTAGCTGACAGCAACACACAGTGGGCCGTGAACGATCGAAGAGAAGCCAAGAGGGCCAAGCAAGTACTACTACGTGCTGACTGCTGAGTCGTTACGTACATGAGATCTCAGCTGCTGCTGCTGGTGGACCGTGTGGTCCGAGGACGTGTGCAGCTTCATCAGCCGATCGATTCGATCGACAGCTAATTGCAGTGCAGAGCTCAAGATATACAGAGAGAAGATCGCTTTTGTTTCGTGGTGCCAAGCAACTAGTAGAATATAATGCAAGTTGCAGGCGACGGGATCGGAGGCTTATCCGGCCGGCCGGCCTGCGAATTCCAACCCGCACTCACGGCGGGCGGGGAGACTGATCGGCGGCGAGCCACCGGTAGACATGCATGACCAGTAGGTCCACCTCAAGATACCATGTACTGGGGAGAAAGCACTTAAATCTGAAGCTCCTGTACTCGATCGCTGGAACTGGACATGGCGCCGGATTTGCAGTGGGTACAAGGGTTCAGAAAATATGAACTACTGGAAAGGGACTGACACTAGCCTGCTGACTCTGCTGCCTTATTAGTTTGGTAGCCGTTCAGGTCTCTCAGCAGACGCCTAGCTACGCGTGATTGAGGAGGATCAGCGAAGCTAATTGACCCCCGGTAATTCAATGGATATAATCCCAGATTTTCCTCACAATGTGAAAGCCTTTTCTCTGAAGAAAATTATTCAGGGTTGACATGCACTGGGATTGAAGAAATAAAGGGGCATTTGATATACGTTTGGTTTGGTATGTAAATATAGTGGAGGGCGCTATCAGTGAAACTAGTAAGGTTTGGCAGCTTGATATGTTTGAACAAAAGAGCAAGGGGGGCACAGTTGTATTGTACGTACAAGCAAACTGTTTTTAAAACCGTTTCTCTCTTCTGTCTATCGAGTAGTGGCCATGAGGAGCAGCAGCTCTCCAGGCACAACTGACTCTCGTAAAAACAAACGAAATTATCGATTGTCAACCTGCGAAGTAGCAAAAGTTGCTTTGCTTCTCTTTGCATTTTTGGCACTGTTTCGGTGAAACAGCTTGGACACTTCTACGGACATCTGTGGTGCCACTGTGCTGAAGGGGTTGTGGGCAACTCAAACAAGTTTTCGTTCCAACTTGTTAACGTGCCAAGTGTTGCACAACCATCCGCTCCACCACAGTGCAACAGCAAATTTCGCTTGCAACTTTGGCTTTCGTACGCTGATTTGCTGTTGACACGTCTTTTGCCTCGGTTTTGAGTGAAACGTGATGCAATTCGCCAGAACACTTTGCGTGTTCCCTGCTGAATACGCATTAAAATTACAAAATATACACTCACGGTCAAACTATACTTTGGGGTTCCTGCAAGAGTCGGATAGCTTCACAAGGGGCGTAAATTACATCTCTTTTCGGCATCTTCAGAACCTTCTTACATTTTCAGATTGCCTACACACTGAGACAAGAATAACTGAAAGGGGGAAACGATCTGAACAGAACATGCTTTTGTCATGCCTTCCCTCGAAGGAAAATAAGTATGATGAACTGCCATCACATATCTCAAATCTGGTGCACTTCGTCAACTGCCTCTATTCATCTGTGGGTTCAGAATCCTCTGAAGGTGCGTCCGACGACAATGGTCCTAAGATGCCCTCTGAACTGAGGGTCAATCCACTCTGTGAAGAGGTACAGCAGGACGATGATTCGATTAGCTCAACCACATGATTCATGATTTACACATAGTACAGTTGAATTTATATGAAATGTGATTTGACACGGTAGCATTAACAAGGGGAGCTTGCAATACCTCTGGCTGGAATCTCAACATGTCAGCACGAGCCATTGCCTCTGCTTGAGCTATTCGCTGCCTGAATATCTGAGACATCTCATCAGCCTGATTTGAGCAGAAGCAACAATATGTCCGTTTGTTACCTAAAACATATTCAGCACAAGAGAAAATGTTGTTTTTGTTTATTCTTGCCTTCTCAAAGACAAGCTTGGGATTACGGATCATGTCACCAGGTGTTGGCTCAAGCTTCTTTGTAGAAAGGCTGACCCGACCTCTTTCACGGTCATGGCTCAGTATCATAACCTATAAGCGACAGAATGCATTAGTGTTAGCTCTGTTAAGTATGGATATGGCATAACAACCAAGAACCACAGCCACAATACCTTGAGGGTATCTCCTGGTTGCAGAACTGTTGAGATATCTGCAACACGGTCATGACTAATCTGGCTGACATGGAGAAGGCCATTGATTCCACCGATGTCAATGAAGGCACCATAAGGTTTTAGGCTCTCAACGGTTCCCATGACAACTGAACCAATGCCAAGCTGGGCCTGACTATCTGCCATTGCCTTGCGATTACTGAGGACAAGCCTGCCTTGTTCCTCATCGACCTCTACATACTTTAGAGGCAATTCTTTGTCAAGCAGCTCTTCAGCGGTTGTTTTCTGATCAAGATCAAACAAAACATTATCAAATAAGGAATCGTAAAGCTCAGCCAGAGCAAAGATCAAACATAAACTATGGTAAGTACATCAAAGGCGCCTCATGCTTGGCAATTAAACATAGAACATAAGAAACTTCTGTGAAAAGGTCAAGAACCAACCGATGACACTTGCGAAAATGGAACAAATCCCTTAAGCCCTTCCACAAGAGCTACTACACCTCCTTTGTTTCCACCAATTACCTGCGAGCAAAATTGAATAAGGTTGAAGAAACCAAGATAACCCGGAAAGGCTGAACAATGTCATCAAGGTAGTCCCAGCAGAGACCAGCCATATATAAAAGTTATACCAACACTGTAGACAAATAGACAACACAGGAGCAAAGATATATCCCTTGAAGACAGATAACATGTTATCATAAACTAACTGATCCTAACTTCATAAGTTCAATAATTGTAGCACATTGAAAGTACAAAAAGGTAATGGGATTTATGGGAACTTGGGAAGTTATCACATGAACTATGAGCTACTAATTTGTCAGCAATTGATAAGCAAGCAATGTGAAGTTAATATGAAACATTGGAATCATAACTGACTGTATATTCAAAATTAATATGCACCGCAAGATATATAACTGCAGTGGAATATAGTGCCTCTGAAATATAGGCCCTTTTAGTTTGGCCCTAAGTCAAACTTCTCTAACTTTGATCAAATTAATAGAAAAATGCTATAACATCTACAACAACAAAAGCAACTAGTTTCATTAAACCACTATGAAATATGTCTATAGAGGATTTATTTGGTCTTGTAGATGTTAATACGTTTTTATATAAATTGGTCAGTTTAGAGAAGTTTGACTTAGGACAAAAATAAAATGACCTACATTTTGGAACACAGGGAGTTTTTTTTTTCTAAGGAACAATAGCTGTTGTTGTCCAGTAGGCATTAAAAAGTGTAAAATCTTATCTGTTCAAGTTCAACACAAACAAGGGGAAACAGAACGCGATACTCAATAGTGTCGGTGTTTCGAGTCGCCACCGACTAGTAAATTTTTAATATTACGCATCTGGCTCGAATGGTGTGCTAAGAGGACACGAGGTTTATACTGATTCGGGCAAAATGTCCCTACGTCCAGTTCGTTGCTGCTGCTCGTGTTACTAGCACTGAAAGTTCATAGTAGAGGTTACAAATAGTCGAGAGAGGGACAGGTCCTAAGTCTCTGGTGAGAGGAGCGAACGGGTGCCGAGAGCTCGGTCGCTTCCCGGCTGTGTGCTTGTGTGTTCTGGTCGGTTCGGGGTTCGATGGATTCAAGTCCCAATTGATGCGATGTGTTGCGATGATCCTTATGGGACGTCCTGCTTTTTCCCTTTTATAGGCCAAGGGAAAGCACGGGTTACAGTGGAGGGAAAAGAGGAGAAGGAGAAGGAGAAGGAGAAGAAGTCCTCTAGGATCGTCGGGTCCTTCTTTTCCTTCACGCGGGTCCCGCCGACCCTGTAGATGTCAACAGGAACAGCTCCACGTCGTGGCTCTGTCCATCATTGGCGCCATGCGCAGGCGTCGTCTCCCGGTCGTGGTGCTCCACTCCATCCTAGCAGACATCGTGGTGAACTGACGCGCCTGTCATTGCTCGTACGAGGGTTAGGCAGAACAGCACCGGTACGTCCAACGTTGTTCCTGATGTGAATCCCCAGGTATGGCCCGTCACGACCATGGGTTATATCGGGGCGTGTCGGTCACCTCCCTGGTGTCAGAGCTTTGACCCAGGCCCATTCGCTTGGACCTGGAGTGGTTGGCGGCGGTATGGATCCCCCGACCTCGGGGTCGGTCTAGGCGGAGTACACCCCTAGAGGTCGGGCGAGGCGGAGCCCGCCCCTAGAGGCCAGGCAAGGCGGAGCCAGCCGTCAGAGGTCGGGCGAGGCGGTGCCTGCCCTCAGAGGTCGAGCAAGGCGGAGTGCAATCCCAAGGGTCGGGCGACCTGCCCCTAGAGGGCGGACGAGGCGGAGCCAGCCCTCCCATGGCCTTGGTGTCGGGCGAGGCAGAGCCCACCCTAGAGGCTGGGCGAGATGGAGCCCGCCCTCAGAGGTCGGGCACGGCGGAGCCCATGGCCTCGGTGTCGGGCGAGGCGGAGCCCGTCCTCAGAGGCCGGGCAAGGCAGAGCTTGCACACCTAGGGTCGGTTGGAGCTGTAGTCACGCTCTTGACTGCTCGGATGAATCAATGTTGATGGTTATTAGCTCCTCCTCTTCAGGTGCGCAAGCTCCCGAGCCTGCGGAGAAGTAGAATACTTCTTCGGAGGCTTTTTCGAACAGGAGGACTCAGAAGGCCTCGACCTTTTTTGTTGCCCACAGCGTGAGCTAGAGGCGGTGATTCTCTTTCCTCGAGCCCCCTCCCGTAGCAGCGATTGTCTTCCCTCAAGCGTTTTTTCCGATAAAAATGGAGGGGCCGAGCCATGCCACGATTTTCCTTTAAGGACGAATTATGGCACCCGGTGAGCTATTAATGGGCTAGTCTAAGTAATGCCCCCGGTATCCCGCTCACAGGGATCTGGCTTGGGTTAGCTTGGTGACTGACCCTAGATTCTCAGCGGCCAATCCATATAGTTCTCGGGTCCGTTCGACCGGTCCCGAGGGCTAAGTACCTTTCTTCAAAAAAAATCATGGATCGTAATCAGCCGAGACTCGAACGTGGGCCGAGATGCCCGCGGTGCTCGTGTGCCCGGGTATTGGCCGCTAGCGGGCCCATCCCTTTCCACATCTCACCCTAGAGACTCCTAGAGCGGTTATCGAACCCATCGATGGGCCGACCTGCGAACTCCTAGGCCCAATCGGGCCGTAGAGGCGCATTTAGATCCGTATTCCTCTTACTCATGACGAGTCGTGGCCCGTCCAGAGAGGAGAAACGTCTGGCAAGTTTTTCGAGGGAACGGATAGAGATTACGTGTGCACGTCCCGCGGTGGGACGTTGTGGCAGATCATGGCAGGCACGGAGATCTAGGCGGGCGGTTGGTTTCCTCGCATCCGTCGCCCCTATAAAACCAAAGGGTTCACCCCTCGGATTCCATACCTTGCATCCTTGCCTCCGCATCCATGACCGCCGCCGCCAATTGCTCAGGTTTCCTGTGTCCGCATCCCCACCGCTGTCGAGCTCGCATCCACCCGCCCCCATCTCCAATGGATCCATGGTGCCACTATGACATCACCTTCCAACGTATGGAGGGCCTCATCCATCGTGGCCTTCTCCACGCATGGACCGTGGTCGAGGAGTGGCTGCTGCTCGGTGAGGAGGACGTGACGTTCACCCACTTCCATGAGCGTGGGTTTGCGACTCCCGCCCATAGATTTCTTCGGGGGCTGCTGCACTACTATAAGATCAAAGTGCAGCATCTCAATCCCAATGAGATCTAGCACATGGCGGCGTTCGTCGCCCTGTGTGAGGGGATCCTAGGGATTAGCCCCCACTTCAATTTGTGGAGGTACTTCTTCGCCGTCATCCTCTAGAAGAAGAGGGAGAAGAGCAGCAGGCAGGAGCTACACATGCCGATGGGGTGCGCCGGCATCCGGCTCTAGAACAACGGGTCGGCGAGTACCCGTCGGTGTGGCTATCAACGTCCAGCAAGGGGTGGCACTCGCAGTGGTTCTACCTCAAGAACAACGCCACCGCCCCTCTGCCGGAGTTCATCGGGCGCCTGTTCGAAGAGGCCCCAGAGTCATGGAGGAAGTGGGGCATCCCGAAGAAGGACAAGAAGAAGATTTAGGACCACATCACCGCCATCCACATCCTCAAGGAGAACGGCTTGAAGGGGTCAGGCGTCATCAGGGCCTACCACGCAAGGAGGGTGGCGCCGTTGATGACGCGCGTGCTCCCACTGTACGCGATGGTGCCCTAGGCGTCGTTCGATGGATATGCTCGCCGAGGGGGCGCTCCTCAACTCCGAGATCACGCAACACATCAAGGAGGAGATGGAGCTCTCGCGGGATGATGCGGGTGCCCCCCTCAATTTCATCTACCCAGTGCCAGGACATCCTTCGATGCGGTCGGAACCAGGCCGTGTTGTCTTCATAAGTTTACCTTTCTCATGCATTCTCTTCAATAGATTTCTCGATCTCTTGATACTAACTTTGAGAGGAGTGGGATCAGCCGAGGGACCTCATCTTCATAGATCACCCGGCACCGTTGCCGAGGGATTCGTCCATGAGGGCGGTGAATCGTGCCAAGGGCGAGTGGCTGAGGAAGGCGAAGGAGGACAAGAAAAGGAAGAGGCAGCGTAAGCTACAGGCGTGGGAACGGGGGGATGGCACCAACAGCGATGATGATGACGACGACGACGAGGTAGCTGATGATGTCGAGTGTGACATCCTGGAGAATGAGGATGCGCTGATAGGTATTGGTTTGTCCTAGCAGAAGTCGGGAGTCTTTCCGTTCTATGGAGGGCAGGGTACGTCCGAGGAGCCGGCGGAGGCGAGACATACCATCGGCCTCCCTTAGGAGTCAACGGGTGTGGGTGGCTCTGTTGCCACGCCTAAGATGTCGGCGAAGGCGCGTGGCTCCACCGTCGTGCCCCAATAGTCAAGGGAATGAGCCCCTCTGCCCAGGAGTAGGGGCGGGCTCGAAATGGCCTCGCCCTGACGAGGCGGAGCAGAGGTTGGGGGGTTTGCTCCCTAAACGTATATGCCACCTGACAGACGAGAGGTGAGTTATCAGCTCCTCTGTTTTTCCTGTTTTGATTAGATTTCATCATGACTTATGTTTTTGGACCCTTGCAGCGTTGGCAGGCAGCGGAACGGTAGGCGAGACGGCAGCCGTCGGCTGGCGCCGCGCCCGTTTTGGGCGGGAGCGGAGCCAGTGTGACTGCGTCTCCGGCCGAACAGGCGCTCCCCACGGTGGCGCCCGTGCCCTCGACGGGACAGGCGGACGCGGGGGCTCAAGGGGCGCCTTCAGAGGTCGCAGAGCAGCCGACGATGGCGGCGATACTGCTGCCGATGACGGGGCGGATGGGGCTGCTGACCGCACTCATGGCGCCGACCGTGGCGGGCGCTACGTAGCCGATCGGGGCCCCATTGATGCAGGTGGAGGTGGCGGCGGCCACGACAAGTGGGCCACGGCCGAACGCAACCGTAGCAGCGCCTGAGGCACCGGCGCGACCCGCGCCATTGGCGGCCCTAGCGATAGTGCCTGGCATGGGCCGAATAGAGGAGGATGTGGCCGAGGGGTCCCCGGATGCCATGGTGCTAGGAGAGGGGTCGGTGTCTGTACCATTGACCCCTTCTATCGTCGGAGGGAGTGTCCCGATGGGTATGTCATGGCGAGAAGGGTCGGCGACGCTTGGAGCCAGCGG